GCCCCTCCGGGCCTGCCACTCCTGCCAGCTGCCATTGTCTCTCCTCAGTCTAGCCTAGCTGTCCCTGGCATGCCTCCCCAGTCCAGCTCTCAGGCCTCATTGCCTGGGGTAGTGACTGGCAGGTACAGATGACTGCTCCTGAGGCCTGGCTCCCAGCCTGCTGGCCTTATTTGAGTCAGGGAGGGGGAGAAAGCTGTCCATAGAGCATCGTGGGTAGAGCAGCGGATCCCCTCTCCCCGTGTCTCCGGGGCCCAGGTGGCTGCAGTGGAGAGCAAGCAGCCTTGGAGGGACTGAGCAGAAGCAGTCAGGATGAGGGGGTCCTTTTTATTGCCCTCCCACCCACCCCCCAGGGCTCTGGGAGCTGACCCCTCCAGCTGTGGGCCTGTCCCTTGCCTCAGATGACTGGGCTTGGTTCTGTTTATGTCTCAGGAGTAGTTCACAGCATAGCTGCTGCTGGGCCCTGCTCTGCCTGCTATATCCGGGCCACTGTCAAGGGTTCCAGGACACAGGCTGCTGCTAGTTCCTCTCGCAGGCTCCTGGCTACCAGGCGCTGGTACCACTTTTCAAAGGCCTGGAAGCAGGGAGGGACAAGAAATGCCATTTGTCTCAGGCTCCCTGCAGGGCCTGTCAAGACTCACACCTGAGCCGTTATGCACTGTGTGTCTCAACCAGAGGCCCTTTCCTCTGCCCTGGCAGCCAGCCCGCCCTTTCCCAACCCAAACAGACTCGACTTGTGACCTGGAAAGCTGTGCCCAGTGACCTGCAAATGAGAAACCTGTGTTTGACTCAGGCCCCACTGGGACCAGCATGGGCAGCCAGTGCCACAAGCAGCCTGGTTCTCAGATTGAGTGACTGTGACACTGGGCTGGACTTATAGCTCTCGTGTCCAGGCTATGAGCTCTGTAACCACTGAACAACTTACTGAATGAGGAGACCTCAGAGTGCTGAGCAGGGACAGCCCCTCCCCTCTCCCTGGCTCAGCCCAAAGGTGACACTTGTTCTGGAAGGCTGACTAGGAGAAGTGAGGTAGAGCCACCTGGGAGAGGACCCGGCTCTCCTCTTGCTGGTACAGCCGTTGAGCCACCTGCAGCTGAAGGGCCTTTTTCCGCCATGTCCTCCAGGCCTGTTCCAGGTGCCATTGTCTGAGCTACAGAGAGAGTTGGAGCAAGAAACACTTTGCTGTTCTAACTCTTCTACTTCTGCCACCCAGGGTGAAAGGGATGTGACAAGGGGCCATGAGAAATGTTGGCAGACAGAGGCTCCTGAGTGCCATCCCTAAGGCTTTGGACCGATGAATGGGATGAGTCACAAAGAAGTTGCCCCGAGGGCCTCTGTCTACCTACCAGGCCCCGGGACAGCTGCTGCACCCAGTGAACATCTACCCAGCGCTGCCATGCCCTTGCCAGGCACCTGGCCTGCTGGGAAGCCTGGATATGCTGACACTGTAGGTGCCTATTCCTGCAGGCCAAGAACACCACAACCTCAGCAACGTGAAGAGCAAGAGCCCCAGGGCATCCTGCTAGGGACATTCAGTCACTGGCCTGAGGGGACCCCCCCCCATGATGTCATAGGCACAGATGATCGATCCTGCCACCTTTGAAGAGCTTCGCCTTGGCCCTGGATGGCCCTGGCCCCAGAGCGGCAGAGCTCTCCTAGTCCTGTAGGGGGCTGTGCCCATGCAGGCAGTGGCAGCCAGAACTGGAAGGTTAGGCAGAGGGGCTGCTCTGTGTCACCTGGAGAAGAGAATTGGGTCAAGAGAAAGTAATGCCTTGGTTTGGGAGAGCAGTGGCCACCCTCAGGTCTCCAGGTTGTAGGCTGGCCCTAGGAGCTCATGGGACTAGAAGAGAATTGTTCAAACAGCTGTGAACAGGGGTGGGGTTTCACAGAGCTTGGCCTGAGGGCTGAGACCCCCAGGGACTGGGCTCCTTACTGAGAACACAGGATGTGGTCCTCTGTATGACTCTGCCATGCTGCTGTGCCGGGCTGGACAGCACATCCTGTACAATGGGTGTCCAGCAGCCGAGGGTCTGAGGGAGCAAAGATCAAGTGCAGTGGGCTGGAGCCTGCTGACCAGGAGGGATCCCTGCCTGCCCCCTGCCAGAGCAGGCTCCCACCTGTGTGCATCATGGGGTGTCCCACCTGCCACCCAGGAATCTCAAGACTTCCCAGAGGCAAGCTGCCAGCACATGACACTACCTCCTCTGGCCATTCTCCCATCCTGCTGAAGACATCTGAGCAGAGACTGGCCCAACAGGGCACAGCTGCCCTGTGACAGAGCCCAGGCTGTCCCCGAGAGCTAAGTTATGCTCCTGACTGAAGTTTGGACATTGCTGAAGCCTTGCCCCTCAGATGTGGCCTGACTCCAAGGTCTGAGCTCCCAACTATGACAATCTGTATGGGTGACCCCCCCTCCCACTACAGGTTGGCTCACAGCCTGCACATGATGCCAGGTGAGGGCCACCTGGTGTTGTGTGTGTGCACGAGCTTGTGTAAAGAGCAGGACTTGGGTACCATTCTCAGTGTCTGCGGTTTTTCTTGAAGCCCCAGTAGTGAGAGTACCATATATGGGAACCTTGCCTTTCCTAACAAGAGGAGAGGGAAGTGTGAATTTCACTCCTTGAGAAACTGAATTGAAGCAACCTGGACTATACACGCTGGGTCTACCAAGCCCTGTAGCATCTAGAAGTAAGATAACACAAGACCCCATGATCTGCTGTTGCCCTAGGCCCATACATACCTGGGAGTTCTGAAACCCAACAACACTATTGCAATTCTATTTAAAAGGCAAAAGCCACTTTGGAGACTTCCTTAGGCCCTTTTTTTGTTTGTTTTCCAAGACAGAGTTTCTCTGTGTAGCCCTGGCTGTCCTGGAACTCACTTTGTAGACCAGGCTGGCCTCGAGCTCACAGAGATCTGCCTCCTGAGTACTGGGATTCAAGGTGTGGGCCACCACTGCCCGGCTTCCTTAGGCTCTTTCTAAAGTCAGTTCCGTTCTTTCTGGCAGTCTGAAGCAGGACTCTGGGTGATGACAAGTTGTCTTTAGGAACACTGCCTGGCCTGTCAGGACCGTGGGCCGGGTCCCTCCAGACTACTGTCAATGCTGTTTCTTGTCCTGCACATTTGTGATGGATTCTCTCTTTACTCCTACTAGCCCATAAGCCTTGCTCATTGTTATGTCAGGCCTAAGAACTTCTGGATTACATTTTGCTACAAAAATGAAAACCAAAAACCATACTTTCTACTTTATTTTCTGTAATGGGCACATTTCATTTCTTCCAATAAAAGTAAAATTGCTGCTGTCTCCATATTTGTCTTTTTAAAGACTTAATTTGGGTGTGTGGGGGGGTACATGCAAGTCAGAACAGGGCCTGAGTCAGATCCCCCTGGAGCTTCGCAGGGTTGTAAGTCTCCGGATGTGGGTTCTGGGACCCGAACTCAGGCCCTCTAGAATAGCAGCTAGTGCTCTCTACCATGGAACCATGCTGTAACTGAATTTAAGATCTGGTGAAGCTTGGTGGTGCACTTGCCAGCCTCCTGGTTCTCTGCATACCACTCTTTAAAAAAAATGCCAGGTGGTGGTGGTGCACCCCAGCACTGAGGAGGCAGAGGCAGGTGGATCTCTGTGAGTTTGAGGCCAGCCTGGTCTACAGAGTGAGTTCCAGGACAGCCAGGGCTACACAGAGAAACCCTGTCTCAAATAAAAATAAAATAAGATTAATGTGTGTGGTGAGTGTGGGGAGAGGCATGCATGCCTTGGTACACATGGTGAGGCCAGAGGACAACTGTGTGGGGTTTATTGTCTCCTTCCACCTTAAGTCAGTTACTGGGCTGGCATGGCAAGCACCTTTACCTTTTTTAAATTATTTGTCTTTTTGAAAAAATTTATTTTTTTAACAAACAACGCAGCCTGACTGGCTTCCAACTCAATAGAGATCTGTCTGCCTCTGCTTTCTTGGTGCTGGAACTGAAGCCATGTACTAATATGCTCAGCCACAAACACTTTTAAAAATCTGTGTCCATTTCCTCAATAGACAGAGGCCCTGTGTAACCAGACATGCACAAGGCTGTCGTCACTCCAGACGTTTGCTGATGGGTCCTCCAATCTCCACCATCTTGCTGGCCACCCAGAGCAGGGTTGGTGGTGTCTGTAAGTCTGTTTGCCCCTAGAGCCGCAATCCCATTGTGGACAGAAACCAGCTGATTTTAAGACGAGGAAATGACTCCCCCCACACACACAGTACAAGCGTGCATGCGCACATGTGTGCGTGCGCACACACACCCACACATGTGTGCGTGCGCACACACACCCCTGGGCTCACCTCACCTCTATCAAAAAGTTTGGGGTGTCCAGTTGCAGGAGGCACCCTCTGTTGGCCAGCCTCAGCCAGTGCCTGAAGTCCATGTTCTGTGCCTGGGTCTGTGGCTCCAGCCACCATCTCAATGGAGTTGAGAGCCACTGAACCCAGCGGGTCCTAAAGAGACACTGAAGCCTCCACCAACAGTGGGTGACATCAGCTCGATGGATGTGGGCCTGGCCTGCTAACTGCATCCAGGCCTCTAGGACCCTGGAGAAGTAGGAGGTGTCCATCAGAGCCAGGTTTCTAGAGCTCTGCAAAACACCAATGCCCAGGCCTGGGCCTTCTCCCACCCCTATGCTGGATAATCCAAGAAATGTGCACGGAAAGTCTCAGAAATGAGTAGAATATCACACACGTGAGGGACAAGCATCCTGTCTAAAGGGACAATTCTAACTGACAGCTACACCCTGCTCCCCTCCCCTGGCAAGATGCCAGCCAACTGCCCCTTTGCTGCACTGAGCACACTCGGCAGGGCTACAAGGCAAGGCCGTTAATGTCGGCAGCTTTTCCAAGGGTGGGTCACTCTAAAGGGGACAGGATTGGGATCCACTCCATGTGTCAGCACCCGCCCCCAGCCCCCCAGCCATCCAGACACTCAGCAGGCACCACTCAGACACCCAATATGCTCCACCCTTACCAAAACCAAGTTCAAAAGCTGAGCTGGAAGCATGGTTTGAGGTTGGGCTTGGGCCTTGGATACTCACCTGGATGTCAGCTGCTGGGCAGCGTGAGCTTGGTGGACCTGGCCTAGGTAGGAATCATGCATCCAAGGGACCCAGCACAGGGCCACCTGGACTGGGCTCAGGACTTGAAAGCTCCTTCCCTCCTGTTGCTGAGCCTCACGGGACTGCCCCAGGGAGACTCGCCATACTGCAAAAGCCTGCCAGGCCTGGGCCTTCCTCAGCTGCCTGTCAGTTCCACACTCTTGCAGAAAGCTTCTCCAGCCCAGGACAGAGGCCTGGGCCACGCATGGATCCTGTGCCTGGGGCCCTACTTTGCAGGCCTCCTGTGAGCTAGCAAATGTGGCCCCCAGGTCTCCTCTCAGGTCGTCCTGGAAGGCTTGACAATGGTCCTGGGACACTCCTATGTCCCTCACGTGTTCACACCAGGCCTGGAAATAGCTGCAAAGGGGATGATGGGGGCACAGGTCAGCTCTCAGTTGGATATAGAGGGAAATTACCAATACGGAGTCGGGTAGAAATATAAGGGTATTTAATAGGGAAAAACCTTACTTACAGAGCAACCTAGCCAGCCGGCGTGGCAGCAGTCTGTACCACAAGTACAAAAGTGAAACCGAAAGAGAAAACGCAGTCCCATGCAAGTATCGCTCTAAGTCACCCAGACCACGCCCTTGCAAGCGTGGTCAGGCACACCGGTAGCCAGCCCCTAAGTAGGCATGGCTACAGCTTCCCCTACAATTCCCCTTTTAGTCTAAAAGAGAATTAAAACTTAACACTATAAAGTATCCAAAATTAACAATCATAAAGGTAAACTATAAGAAGATACAACAATCTGCTTATGTCACATCCTAACTATAGGCAGGAAGTGACATAGCAAGGAGATTCATATTTAAGCGAAGGAGAAACAGGAAGGGCCACTTTTCCCATTCGCCTCCTCCAGCGGCAGGATGTGAGCCAACGGCAAGGAGGGACGCCAATAAGGCATCTGTCCGATAAGTCTTATAAAATATATAGACTTATGATAATTAAGACTGAGCTAACAGATGAGGAATCCTAGCCAAGATGAGGAATCATTGGCCAAGCAGCATTGAACCTAATACAAGTTTCTGTGTATTCATTTGGGCCTAACTCGAGCGGGCAGCTGGCGTAAAGTTCACACGTGGTGGTGGGGCTCAGGCGGCATCTGGTGGAAATATTTATCGTAACAGATGGGTGTTGTGTTTATTCAAAGTGACACCTGCAGATGTGCCTGTATTCTCACTGAAGCAGGAGCGTCTCTGGGGCTAGCCTGGGCTTGAAACTCAATCAGGAAAGCGCTTTCTCACAAGCGCAATGCCTTGGGTTCAGTTTGTAGCACTAAATACCACAGGTATAGTGGCATCTGCCCATAAGCCCAGCACCTCTGATACAGAGACAAGAGATCAAGAGTCAAAGTTATCCTTGGCTGCATAGTGAAGGCAGCCTGGGCTACACGACTTTACCCTCTTCTGGCCACTGTAAGACTGTGGACCTGGACCCCCTCACAGCTGAAGAAAACATCTCTGTCACCTTCACTGACCTATGAAGTCACAGGACTGGTCTGGTCAGGAGGTAGACTCTGAGGCTTGTCACCAATGCCAAATTAATGAGAGGCTGCTGGTCATGGCCTCTGGCTTAGACCAACTCTCTTCAGGTCCCAACCTCACCTAAGTCCCAGGCCTACAGTGAGCATCCCAGCACTTTTTTGTCCTAGGCCCCCTGCCTTTCCTACATGGGCAGGGGCAGAGCTCTCCCACCCAACAAGCCCCCAGGTCTGAAGACATCAATGTCCAAGTTCAAGCTACTTCCTGCTGCCAGCCCCAAACACAGCCTTCTTTAGAACCTCGAGGTGGACTTACCCCCTACCTCTGATAATATTTATGGAGAAACTGCTGTCCTGGGACCAGATAGACCAAAAGCCACTAGAGAATCCCCCAGCCTCCCCCCTGTACCCTGCTCAGCCAGCCCTCTGCTCTGTTAAAACACTTTTGGGCCACTAGGCTTTGCATTTAGGTAGTTGGGGCACTTTTTTTTTTGTTTTTTTTTTTTTGTTGTTTTTGTTTGTTTGCTTTGTTTTGTTTTTCTTGGTGCTGGAACCTGAACCCAGAATGTCACCCATGCTAAACACATAACTTCCCCAGTGGATGCCATTCCCAGCTTCAAATTTTCTTTTTTGTTGAAGATTTTGATAATGTTTAGGCATTAAAAGAATTCAAGGGTTTTAAAAATCTAGGGGCTGGGGGTATAGCTCAGTTAGAAGAATGCTTTGTCTTGTATGGATGAAGGCCTGGGTTTGATCCCCAGTCTTGCACAATCAGGGCACGGTGCCTCAGGACTATAATCCCAGCACTTGGAAGGTAGACGTAGGAGGATCTGAGAGTTCAGAGTTACGGGAAGTCAGCTACACAGCAAACTGGAGGTGAGGCTGGGCCACAAGAGACCCTGTCTAAAACAAAACAAAACAATAATAAACTAAATCTAACCTTCCAGGGGCTGGAGAAGTGTCTCCGCAGTAAGGATATGCATTACTTTTCCAGAGGCCAGGGTTCCATTCCCAGCACCCGCATCAGGTGGCTCACAACTGCCTCTAACTGCAGCTTCAGGGGATCCCATGCCTCTAGCCTCTGAGGACACCAGCATGCACTCAGGTACACATATACATACGTGATTAAAAATAAGATCATCTTTTTTAAAAGTGTAGGTTTCTGTTTCGCTATAAAAACTTTAAGATTTAACGTTCATTCCTGGTGGACAAGCTGGAGAAGCAGCTGTCCCCAGTGGTCAGGACCCCAGCTTTCTAAGACAATCAAATCCATTCTAACAGTTCATTACTGCAACTGGTGGACATAGACGATACTTAGAATGGCCGCCAATGAGCCAGCAAGCTGATTCAGTAAGTAAAAGTGCTTGCTGCTGAGGCTGAATTCCTGGACTCAGTTCCAGGAATTCCTGAGTCCAGTTCCCTGAATACATATGGTGAATGGTGAGAACCAGCTCCCTCTGACCTCCATGTTGGCATACACACACACACACACACACACACACACACACACACACACACACACCCCGAGAGGGAGTTGAGTGGGGTGAGGTGTCAGTCATTCCTGGGATTAGCTTGTAAAGAAAAAGAAAGGAGTTTCTAGTTTGAGCACACACTCTCACTGCCTCTTGCATCACTCACCTTACTCACTTATATGAGTGAGTTCTGCAGAGATGCAGACTTACCAGCACCCCCACAGGGGAACTTAGAAGTGGGTGTCTGCCCTACACAGAGCTTTCTGATGTAGTTCCGGCCCTGGGTGACCCCTCACTGCAGCCTCTTGGGAGAAAAGGAAACAGGGGCCCATAAGCTATCAGACTCCCTCTTGTTCCGTTGACACCATGAGATACTAAAAGTTGGTGGCTTTAAACTATAAGCAGTGAGTAGAGCTAACTGAGTGGTTGGTGGTGCTCAACTCTAATCCTGCACGCAGGAGACAGAGGCAGGCAGATCTCTATAAGTTCAAGGCCAGCCTGATCTACAGAGCGAGTGCCAGGACAGCCAGGGCTACACATAGAGAAACCTTGTCTCAAACAACAACAACAACCCCCCAACACACACACACACACACACACACACACACACACACAAAGAAATCAATCAAACAAATACCTATAAGCAGGGAACCAGTAAAATGTGTCAGTGGGTAAGGGTATTTGCTGCTGACCCTGACAACCTGAGTTAAATCTCCTGGATTCACATACGTGATGGAGAAAACTGGCCCTTGTTCGTTGTCTTCTGACTTCCACAAAAGAGCTGTGGCACACAAATAACCAATTAACTAATTCATTAATTAAAACAAAACAGTACGTAGGGACTGGGCGTGTGGCTCAGAGTGTGGCTCAGTGGCAGCCTGGAGCACTTGCCCAGCATGCCAAGACCTTGGATTCCATCCCCAGAACTGAAGTTAATTAGTTACATAAAATGCTCAAGTGTTGGGGCTATTTGTTGTTCAGCAAGGGGTGGGAGCCTCCTGGATGTGACTATGACTTGGCTGGGGTCAAACTGAGTACAGAGAGAAAGGTCCTCCTTTCTGCTGAGCCAGGATCCTGGGAATCTCGCCAGGATCCATCCCCTCCTTCCTCAGACAGGCTCCTCTCCAAGGCCACTTGCTCTCCCAGCAAGCAAGCCCGTCTCTAGCATCATGGCCCTGAGAGCACGAGGGCCCTGTCCCCCCTGACCTCAGAGCACAGGCAGGCAAAGCAAAGGTGACAGGGACAGAGAGGGGGACACTGATGCTCTGGCCTGGAGTTTGCCATGGACTGTCTCATGGGGTCACACAGTCACCCCCATGAAGCACGTACATTTGTTTTGCAGATGATGGAACAGGGACTCAGGGTACTTAGGTGGCTTCCAGGACAGCCCCAGGGCTGTTACACAGAGAAACCCTGTCTCAAAAAAAAAAAAAACAAAAAGAAAAACAACAACAACAACAAAAAAAAACAAGCCGGGGGTTGGTGGCACACACCCTTAATCCCAGCACTCGGGAGGCAGAGGCAGGCAGATCTCTGTGAGTTCGAGGCCAGTCTGGTCTCTAGAGCGAGTGCCAGGATAGGCTCCAAAGCTACACAGAGAAATGCTGTCTCGAAAAACCAAAACCAAAACAAAAACAAAAACAAAAAACAGACAAACAAACAAACAAAACAAAAACAAAAGAAGATCTACACAGCATGAGACGGAAGAGCTGAGACCCAGCCGAAGTGTCCCTCTACCACTCAGGCCTTCATGCACCCTCTGCGATGCAGTCCCTGGGCTCTGAGATGGCTGTGGAGTGTCACTAAGGGGCCCTGCCTTCCCCACCCATTCCTTGGCTCACTTTGCCAGCAGGAGAGCCAGCAGCTCAGGGCCACTTGCTCCATCCTGGCCCTGCTCCTGGAATCTCTTCAGCACTGCCCATCACTGCACCAGCGGCCGCCACCACAGACCCATCACAGCCCTGCGGCTCTGATCTCAGCCCCAGTGAGCAGCTAGCTCTCTCCAGGGCCCTTGAGCTGAGGAGGACACTGGGAAGGATGGGGAATGTCCACTCTGAGTACAGTTGTTAGGCTAGCCTCACCTTCTGTACCCTTCCATCCTCCCCTCAGCAACAGCCATAGCCTGGGCGAGTTCCAGTCAAGGAGAGGATGGGTTGCTGGGGATCAGAGGGGTCTAGGGCCCTTCCAAAGGACATTGTGTCAGGTGATGGGACTAGAAAAGGATCCTCAACCTCCGATGCCAAGTCCAGTGCTCAGTCATTGAAGTCAGTACTGTAATGACCCTCATTTTACAGACAGGCAAGCAGAGGCACAGAGACGTCAAGTAACCTGTCCCAGATCACACGGCCAGAGGCATGAAAAGCAAGTGTTGGGATGTAGGCAGTCCCTTCTCAAGCCCTGCTCTGTGGGAGAGCATCTGGAGAGAAATACACTACAGCCTGTCCTGCCCCGGCTCCCACCCTCACAGCAGGATAGGGCAGGAGGACATGAGAAGTTAAACGGCCTGGATTCTGGGGACCATGGGGACTGGGTTGTGAGCAGAGAACCCCCTGAGATGCAGACTCCACAGGCTGCTGCTGGGAAGGCCAAGGATGGGTGGGGGGAGGGGTTCCTACCGCCTCTGGAGGGTACGGCGGTACAGCCTCACTGCATTCTGGGTCTGCTGGACCTGCACCTGCCAGGGAAGAAGGCACAGTCCCTGTCGTACCACCTGGCTGCCCACAGAATACCCACCAGGAAGGTCTCCAGGAGGGTGAGGGCCCCTGGAAACTGTGGGTGGGGGTGAATCCTGGGACACCCCCCATCTCCACCCGACTCCAGCCCCTCACCTTCTCCAGTGGCCCTCCTGATGTTCCGAGGCCCAGCCAGGCTTCCCCTCTCGGGCTGTTGCCCCATGGCTGCAGGGCTAACATGGTCTCCATGCTGCTTGAGGGAGGCTCCGGACCCCAGGCTCTTAAGTGCCACTGGCTCAGGATGTGCTGCAGAGCCCGCTTCTGCATGCCCTGGAAAAAGGAGCTGGGGGAGGGGGGCAGGTAAGTCTCTGGGACCCCCAGCACCCACGACAGGGACAGGGCTGCTGTGAGGGAACCCAGCGGGAAGGCCATGATCAGTTGAAGCCAATGGATCACTCGGAGCTTCAAAGAATGATGTCATAGCTCAGCGGTGGAGCCCTTGCTTAGTGTGGATGATGAGTCTGAGGTCCTGATGCCTGGCCCCACAAAGACACAAACAAGTCTCTCTAGGGCCAGCCCAGCCCACTGCCCTCTAGTGGGGAACTCAGTTAAAAACAAACAAACAAAACAAAATACTTTTCCTAAAAACAAAGCAAAGCAAAATGAAACAAAAACAGAAACAATGAAACACAAGCCATGGTAGTCCAAGATTGTAATCCCACAACTCAGGAAGCTGAGGCAGGAGGATTGCCAGTAGTTTGTAGTCACCCTGAACTATGTGACATCATGCTTGCTAGAACAAAATTCTTTTTCTTCTCCCCATGCCCACCAAGGTTTCTCGTGTAACCCTGGTTGTCATAAAACTCCCTCTATAGCCCAGGCTGGCCTTGAACTCACAGAGATGCCTCCCAAGTGCTGGGATTAAAAGAATGTGCTATGCCCCACTGTAACAGAATTCGTAGCTCTGTAACTCCTGGTTTACTCTCCCTGACAGCCTAGTCTAGAAGCTGGCCCCTGATGACCCCAGCCTCCCTTCCCCACAGCCTGGGCTCAGAGTCCTTCCTGGTGCCACTTGTCTTTGTAAAGGCAACTGGGAGAAAGTGGTCCCAGCAGCTTCCTGCTTGGTCACTGTCTCAGTGTCCCACCGCCATCCCCCAGGCGGTGATATCTGCTGGGAGACACAATGTATCCTTTCAGGCCGAGGCCATGAGAAGGCTGGGGATGCTGACTGGGATCTAAAGGACAATGGTCGTGTATCTACCTTGTCAGGGGCTGGCCCTACGTCATCAGTGTCTGGACACCTACACAGCTTGCTGGTGCTGGTAGAGTCGTGTCCTCCAGAGCAGCAGGACCCGGTGCAGAGCCAACCTTTGGCAGGCTTCCCACAGGGAGCACGGATCTGGCTCCTGGGGCAGCTGCTGCGCCTGGACCACTGTCTCCAGGCAATAGGAGGTGGTGGTTCCTGGGACTAAGATGCCGAGGGCCTTATTCCCTGGGAAGAAGGCAGGATGTGGTGTGGTCGCTGCTTGCTCAGGCCACATGCTCCCCACAAGGCCGCCTCAAGTCCCCATCTTCCCCATCTTGGGAAGGGCCTTCCTGGAGCAGAGGGCCACATGCTTTCATGGTAGAATGTGGAGCAA